GCTGCAAGAAAGAGCCTCTAAACAAGATCAGAAGTGAAAGGCTTTGTATTTAAAGTAAAATACTGACTAGTAGGCTTCTCCAAGTTTATAGTCATATTATTCTCCAAGCTCCAGCTCTCCAGCCTCTTGAGAGCTGTATTTATTATTACAGTATTTAGCCTGGATTGATAACTCTTAGTTGCATAGCAACAAATCGCAAGATCGTCAGCAAAAAGGGCAGCGTTAGTCAATCCATCAGAAGTCAAGATATTCGTTAGGTCATAAATAAAGATATTAAATAAAATAGCGTTGATCACCGTGCCCTGCGGTAAGACAGTTTCACGTTGTTTAAAGTTGGACACAGAATCACCGAAACAAGTGGTGGAGAAATGTTGTGAAAGAAAACTCCTGATCCAAGAGTGCATATTACTGCGCACACTCAGGTTTTGAAATTTCTGGATACATTTAAGTCGCTAAACATTGTCAAATGCAGCATCAAAGCCCACAAACATAGCCAAAACAGAGCATCTCTGATCGAAGGCGTCCTTTATGGACTGACAAGATAAATTGTTGGTTTGTGGACATCCGTTTTCTAAATCAGGCCTGAGTTGGAGATATGAGGTTATTATTCAAGAAACCCTGGTCTAGAAGAAAAAACGAATTAAATGCGTTGGAAATATCCCTGTCATCAGTTAAAACACCACTACCAATTTTCAACGGCTCTCTAGTAAATGCAATTTTCTTATTCTGTAATTTGTTCACATAAGTTATAAACTCTTTTGCCATCCTTCCTATAGTCAATTTTAGAAATGAAATCATTGAAACAGTTTCTTTTAGCAGAAACAATTTCTTTACGTAGTATAGCAACACACTTTTCCCAGAATTGAATGTCCTCAGTCTCTTTGAATGTTGAGCAGCTGTACGAGACATAGAAGATTTTTCTTTAAGAATGGCAACACCAGAAAGTTTTATAAATTGCTTGCCTCTCGGTATCCACTTTTTTGCAATATCAAGACAATAGTAGTAAATCTAGAAAAGACGTGATCAACACTCTCGCCTGCTTCACAGAAACTAGAAGTAGATCCAAAAATAGACTTAAGACCTAAGTAAAGTCATCCCAATTAGCTTTAGTAAAATTCCATCTGTGTCTAACTGAATTCCTTAGTGATTTATCGAAGGTAAGTTTGAAAGTAGTAAGAATCATGCGATGGCCAGAGCCAGGATCGTAAATTACTTCTCTCTCAGCATCATCGAAAATGTCTGCAGGAGCTAATCTCAAGTCTGGATTGGTTCCACTACCGTTATAGTGCAGATAGGTTGAGACGTCTGAATCATTATACAGAAGCTCCAGTGTATCAGAATTTAAAAGATCTTCCATCAAAAATCCAGCAAAATTTGTTTCTTTATAATTTCAGAGTTGACTATGGGCATTAAAATCGTCAGAAAGATTTGCTTTACTGGACAGAGTCTAGAAGCTACTGTCAAGTTTGGTTTTACTGGGTGGACTATAACAACCACAAATTTTAAAGTGTTTCTTCTATTTCCACACACATCCATATTTACTATTTTTGTTCCGTTGTATGAGAAGAGATCACTAACTTCATGAAAATTAGAAATCAGGCCAAAAAGTAATAAAACAAATTGTTTATTAAATAAAGAGGCGTCAGTTGCTTCAGAATTCCCCTGAACCGACTGGCGGAATTTTGGTGGGATCTCAGCAAACATTCTTGATTCGCTAGTACATCGAGAGTTTCACGTTTGAGGGATAATACGTAAGTAATTTTTTAACTTTTATTGCACTTCTTCATAAATGGATTTATTTACTACAATAGGTCAGAAACACCTTATAAGTTTTCTAAATATAAACTGCTTCAAAGACCTAATACAGTAAAAATAAAAATTAAATATGTGTATTTTCCGAAAATTGTATATAAAATATAAGTATATATATATATATACTTTTATTTTATATACAATATATATATATATATATATATATAATATTAATTAATGTAAATTTCAAGAAAATAATGAAAACATTAAACTAGCTATACAAAAGTATTCAGTCGTATACAAAAATTCAAATTTTTCTATTTATTAATAATTTATTATGATCAATATTAAAACTGAAAATTTTATAAATTCTTTAGCGAATTCTTCTATTTGAGTTAACATCAAATTTTAATTTGAAGGAGTGATTAGTTTGAATTTATAAAGAGCGAAAGTTGAAAATTCAGTTTAACTAAGACAGAAGCTATTTTCCAAAGAAAAGCCGCCTACATGATGTAGTGGTTAGGGAAGCCGACTGCGATACCGAAGGGCCCAGAGGTTTGAATCCCGGAGAAAGCATGGTTGTAACTGTCCGTCTCTTCATAGGAGGTAAAGGTGGCAGCCTATTAAATGCCTCTACAATAAAGTGGCCACCACTTCCGGCCTTAGGAGAGGCCAATGTCGAAAAAAGCAAAATAGTGCTCGCCGTTCGGAAAAAATAAGTTTAAAAGAAAAAAAAATTATATAGATAGTAATAATCACTATCACACTTCCAAATTGTCTATAGTTCCAAATTCAACACTATAAAACGGGTTAAAGGGATATCAGCAAGAAAATTTAATAACTCCAGATTTGGGATACCAAAGGCTCTATTCTCGAATGAAAAGCAAGCTATTTAAGAGCGCCAAGATAAATCCTGCTCCACCAGACATGAAAATTCTCTTTTAAGCTGCTGTATTTTATGATGATAAATTCAGTAGTAAAACATTACATCAAAACACCATGGCCATAGATGGTAAAACCCATGGATTAGTGAAAGTAATCTGAAAAAAGCCAGGATTTTTTTAAAGCATTTGACATTTTAAGCATAATAGAATTTCTTGGATGCTGTTATTTTTCAGCAACAAATCAAAACTCATATTATTTAACATAGACATGAGAAAACGTGTCTATGTTAAATAATATGAGTTTTGAAGAAGCCAGCGCAGAGTTTGAACTATGCGATTTTTATGGGTTACTGTGAAATATGGAGGAAGTTTGGGAAAAGTGTGGATAGGTATGCCAATGACTTGATGGGTACACCGGAATTTATTGAGTGTATTATGAATCAATATGTAGTTGAAGATATCTTTAGAAGAAAGCTAATAAATAGTGCGGATAAATTAGTGTTAAGTGCAGACTTCATTTTACAAGCGAACAGTGATCCGAAGCATTTGGCTCTGAATACAAAATTACGATTCTTTTCTATAATATTCCTAACCATCTTGAAACTCTTAGTCTTCACATTCAGACCCATGTTGGACACTTGACCCAAAGATTGATCAAATCTGTGTCTCCTAGATTGAAAAGAGAGAAAATGCAAGAGGAAATGCAATAAAATATTGAAGATTAAATTTTTAAGTTTATTTCTTTTCACGAAAATGCTGAATACTTCGGTGTAGCTTATTTATCCCTTGTTTTAATTTCGCACGATATGTTACTTTTAATTTTTCCTTCATTTATCAATTTAAACTGCTTCAAATTTTTAGATTTATAAAAGTGCTGAATATTTTTGTTTCGATACTAGTTCTACGGAACTGTGAAGCTCATCATATAAAGGATATAACACACTTATTTAAATAAAGAAAATGTATTTGCATAAAAATGAGATTAAAAAAAAGAACAAGAAGAATGAAATGTCATACGTCAACTATTTTCATTGGTGACGCAATATGGTAGCAGTTACAGATGCATGGCCATTTCCTAGATATTTTCTCAACAAATTTGAGACTTCAAGGATAAGAAATCTTCCTTGTAATTCTTATCAATATATTTAGTGATAAAATCAGATGCAGTTTATCATTTGCATCTAAAACATTATACTGATATTTTCTGATTACTCATATCTCCTTTTCAATTATGCTTTTGTAAACTGGCGGAAAACTTGCGTTGTTGTGACTTATCTGATTCATTTGAGAGTAACATCAGAACATACTCACAAAATTCATTGTGGCAAGTAGTGCAAGATTAGCCTGTCGCTAGCAAGGGCTTTGAGCACTATGCAGGTGACAGCACGACTTTGCTCAGTTCCGCCTCCAATTTTGACGGAAAGCATCCTGGTGGGACGGGTCAGAAGATCTGTCTCCCTCTTTCCCTGCCACCAATCTCTTGAGAGGACAGCATACTTATAGTGTCCCCATGCCACGAGTCACTAACCACTATCCCGGATGAGGGGCGAAAAACCGTTGTTTTGTTATCTTTGTGGATCGTAGATACTCTTCTGCTCATAAACAAAATGAAGCATTTTAGAAGAAACAAGATATTTTATCTGCGGGCGAGACTATACGGATAATATTTACATTTTTACTCAGCCGGCGAATTCTTGCAGCAAAATGAGAGTTACTTAAAGACGAGCTGTGACAACGCTGAAAATGAAAGTTTCGCGCATTGTTTTGATGCTCATATTTCGTGTAAAAGCCTTTTAAGCCCCGTTTATTCTTGGATTTATCTGAGCTAACAGAGACAACTGATGTAGCCGACCCATCTCCAAAAATCAGCTTTTTCCTATACGGCAGCAAGTTGAAAAGTCTGAATTGCAGGCACAGCGTAGCTAGTTAACACATGGAACTGGCTTTGTTAGTTCAAATAAATCCCCGTGTGAATGGCCCTTTATGGTTTCCACATGCAGTTATTTCCATAACTTCCGCAATTCCCCAGATATTTTCATAACTATGAGTTTTGCGTTTGCTTCTTCAATACGTCACATTTTTCTCTTTCAGGTAGCGTTATCTGGATCAACATTTATTGTATTGGGTTTCATGTGGTTTGTGTTTTATTTTTCAAAATGATTGTAGAATCCTACAAAATATAATTTTAGGAACATGAAGATAGAATAAAACGAAACCTTGCCATAGCAATGAAGTACTACTGAAGTGTGACTACTGCTAGCACTGGTACACAACGGCAAGAGAAGCAGAATTTTAACCTTGCATTTGCAAAGTTAATTATGTAAGCGCATAGATACCAAGTGATAAAAACATAAACACATCCAATAATTTATATAAAATGTTTTATTTATATATCACAGGTGGACTTATGTACACTGCGGATGACTTTAGGTTCTAGTTCATTTACAGCAGAATACTTCACAAATATGACTCATACAGAATGTGTTGTTGGTTTTGTACTTTGAATGTTTCTACGGCAACACATGTTCTGTTGCTCTTAACATCCTATAACACAAAACAGATGAGTTAAAAAACTAAAAATAATGCTACTTCAGAAGTTAAATCCATGTAGAAAAAAGTATGCAAGTTCTTTTAATTCGATTTTAAGCTTATCTCTAGCATCCCTTTTTCATCGACGAACATTTTATGGTCGCAAGGAGAACCGTAGGCGTAATGGATTGGGCCATCTCAACGTAACTTTCATGTAAACATTCATCATATCTCTCGGATCTAAAGAGATAACCTTTAAATTTCGGATAATATGGCTTAAAATTACTCTTGTTTCGATCATTCCATACCTCTGACCTGAAAAGAAAGAAATTGCTTATAGTAAATAATATAATTAAATTAATAGAAATAAATAATAGAAATAAATAAGAAGGAACTTGCACTTGAACGATTAGTCTAGTAAGCCATTTCAAATAATTTCAGTTTTCGTTAATTTTAGATTTTAAAATACTTATAGATCATTCAGAATAAATTCCTTAAAATATAATCCAATATGGATTATCCAATATGGATTATATTTTAAGCAATCCAATATTGCTCATTCTGATTGCTTATTCCGACAATTTTTCCTACCTTGGGCAAACGATAACGCAATCCTCAAGATGTTAAGATTCTGCAAAAGAGTCCTTGTCAAATTCCGTATTCTCCTCATGCCTATGCGTTTCAGTAGTCACCGAAGGGTAATTGCCTCCACAATGCACTCATGTTCAAATTCTTGATAAGGGACGGTTTATAAAGACTGTAGCGTAAAAAAAATATAATACACGCTTGTAATTGTTCGAACTGCATACGCAGAGGATAATGTAAACTACATTTAACCAAAAAGCTCTTGATAGGTTGCTGCTAATGAAAGCAAGAAACATAACCTCCGAATTCCATACACGGTGATGTTTAATCAGAACTACAATTAACAAAGCAATCTTCTACTATTACCAACGTTATTTAAGACGTTTAGCCAAGGATAAATGGGGGCGATATTTTTTTTTCTTTGATGCATACCAAGTGTTCACTGAATTTTTATTTGTCTGTGTTATCTATCTATAAATGTCACAGAGTGATATAATATCAATTTTGCAATATGAGTTCTCACTGAACTATCTCATCACATCCTCTATAATGAATATAAATAAGACCATTAATAAGTACGCATATGGTATTTGTTGCAAGCAAAAAGACACTTTCGTGCAAACCGTATAATTTTTTATTCTTAATTAACTATTTATTTTTTGGTTCGAATTTTCTGTATTTCTCTATTTATTACACTCTGCGTACAGTAAACATAATGTTTTATTTAAATCCAAATGGCAATTTTAGGAATGCTGCCATTATTCTAACTGGTCAAGATGCAAGCTTGCTATCAGTTTTCCAGCGATAACTACAAGGCCATTGCTAAGCATGTTCACATTTGCATATAGAAGTATGGTTGTAAGTTAATGAAAGCCATGCCTCCAAAGCAGGGCGATATCCTCGTTACACTGAAAACATTTTTCACTGCTAATACTGAAACTAGTACATATCCATCTCGCATAACGTAACTCATAGTCACAGTTACGTCTTCAGTAAATTCCAGTTTTTCGTTTCATATTGTGACATCAACCTGCGACATTGGTGAGAACTCATACCGTAACAATGATATTATGTTGGTCTGTGTTACTTATAGACAGACAGACAGACTATAAGATATTTCACCTGCCTTCGTGGTGTAGTGTTCTGCACGCTGGGCCGGTATTCCAGAGGTCCGTGGTTCGATTCCCGGCGAAGGCGATTGCTCATTTTTCATCTTGCCTACTTTTAAAAAATACCTAATGTCTCTACATTGGCGCCCGAAGGTACCCTAAAAAACCCATCTGCCCTTTAAAAGGGGGAGTATAGTATAAGGTATTTCTCCCGCCTTCCTAGCGTGCCTTCGTGGTGTAGTGGTTTTGCACGCTGGGCCGGTATTCCAGAGGTTCGCGGTTTCCTAAAAAATACCTAATGTCTCTACAAGACAAGTAACAATTTATTAAACACCTTTTATGCATCAAAGGTATATAAATATCGTTTCCGTTTGTTCTCTATTGGACAAACCACTAACTGAGAGAAATTGCGGGTTATTCATGGGGTACTAAATGTAAGTCTATATTTGCTCATAAGCTTTTCTTCCTCTAGACAAACCCCTTCGGTGTGTGCACACAACTTTAGCATGATGTTTTCCATATGCTATGCTAAACATAATTTGTAGACAGTTTCTCTGGTATTAATTTTTGGCAATTAGCACGCTTTTGTACCATTCATAATTTAATGTTTTGATTTATTTTGACATAATATAATTGTTGATTAATAGCACACACTTAATACGTATAAAATTTTCCATGGATGTAAATTCTCAATTCTGTAATCAGATTCCACTGAATGTAAATTATTAAGCCGTATACAGCCTTTCTCACTGATTAGATGTAATGTATTATAAAATTCTACCACAACACTTTTAAGAGTAACCTGCTGTACAACCTGTACCTTCAGTTTATATGCAAAGTATTGTTACATTAATATACTTTTCATTTTGATGTTATACTACTATATTAGAGAAAAATGTATGTCTAGATGTATGCATATATGAAGAGTGCCTGGAAATATCATTTGTCTAAGCAGAAACTTTGATTTTGTGCAAGAGCATGCTAATATTACTAGACCTTAGATTATTACTTATATTACTTGAATATAGCAGAGTACAGTAAGGCTTTCTGCATATGTGTAGGAATGTTTTAATGAAGGAAGTAACAATGAAAACTGGACCATATTTGCACTATCTCTTAATTTATTATGCGTATTAATCCTACACATAATTTTATTTCGCAGCGATACTACGCTATTATTAACTTAGAACTCTTTTTCGCATTATTGGTTAAGCTACCGTTTCATTACCTTTAAAATTATATTTTTATATTTTTTTTTTTTTTTTTTTTTGTGTTTCTTCATACGTTTTCATTCTTTGATGCTTATTTGCAATTTATTGCGCAAGTTTACCTAACACACGACCTTAGCTAAATATTATTTACTTTCGCATTGTTTTAGGTTATTTCTTCTGAATGGATTTAAAAAGATAAGGAAACTTGAATCTGAATCACAATTTCATAAGGTAAGACTTTTTAAACATTTGGGTGAACTTTAGATAGTGTGTTCGAAGATAAGCCTTTCCACCCAACTCTGTTATTTTATTCTTGTTAAACCACTTGTAATATTGTAAGGAATACTTCAAGATTTCGTGGTATGAAAACTTGTTTAATTAATGAATATATTTGGTTCAGATTTCTACCAAAGAACTGCAGAAGTGGGATTGTTTCAATTATTTTGCACTTCATTTGCTTAGTTTTCAGAAGTACATCTTCAGACCTATTTAATCTATAAGTGGAATTTGCTGGGATATGTAGCCTTCAAAATATATTTGAAGATACATCTATATGAATCGCCTCTTTTGACTGGTATTAAGGAGTAAATTTCTGTCATAAAACTATATAGGGAACATGTGATGCCAAGTATTGATTTAGGAAAACATTAGTACTCTCCATATCGTTTTTGACTGATCTCCAAAATTCTGACTTAAAGCATATTATCCCAGTCCATTTACCCTAATTCATTTTTCTATTTTGTTCATCTACTTGAGATAAGATCTTGGCCATTTAATTTCTAGTACTTGGATATTCTTGGTAACTTCCTTAATGATCTTATCTGGAAATTACCGAATGATGCCCACGTGAACTTTCAACCAAGTGATTCAATTTTATAAGCGTCATTTTCTTGTGTAAGAGCTTTAATTTTTTTACATTCGATAAGTAAATCAGAAAGTGCAAAAGCGCTCATAAGCCGTCGTATTTAACATGTAATTTTAGAGAACTGAGCGTTATCTCATAAATAATTTCGTATGAATCGAAAATCGGATAAATGAGCTGAATCGAAAGATCTAGAGGAAGGTATTAATATTTTCGTGCAGAATATTCCTCATTCTTCTGCTAATAACTAGACTACAGCTACAAGTTGAAGCAAGGCCGGGACCTGTGTATTCATTATATATTACAGATATCGCCGGACCTTGCTACTTGTTAAACTTCAGCCCAATTTTGAGGAAAAATAGTCTAGGAGCTGTCCAAGCAACTACTCGAGAGAACTACCCGCTCCCTGTGTACTTTGAGGCTTCCTTGCAGCATAGAACTATACACTTACAAACAGTCATGTCTTCTCTTAAATTCGAACCCGAGACTACCGGTATGGCAATCAACGTCTCTAACAACTATACCATCTGGGCGGCTTAATAATAATAAAACAGCGTAAGCTGGAGAAAAAAATGAATTGGGTATGGAGAGGAAAATAATAAGATGTTAAGTTACTGAACGCTAAGCTATAGTGGACTGCGCTGATGATGTGATGTTACACTGCGACATTGAAGTAATGTCATAATGCAGCGATGATGTGATTGTCACAGTGCAATGCTGATCTGATTTGCCTATCTCATTAAGAACTTAAGCCAATACACATTCGTATCCAATGTACCTATACCAGCCAATGTACCTGTGTATGAAATTTTTATTAATTGTACGCTGAAACATATATGCATAGGCCCTTGTTTGGCCACGTCAAAACCTCATACTCTCCATTAATAAATTTCGGATGCAGCCCTCGACGGAAGCCGCGAGGGCTGTGTTGTTTTAGATAGGTGCGGGTATCGGACGAAACCCGATTTGTCACATAAAGCCGTCCGGGTGTCCGGGTCCTACATTCACCTTTCACCTGTCTTAATGCAATGTCTTGAAGTAACGCAACCGCTATACGATTCTTCAGTACTTCAAAGTGCTAAATGTATTGGAATGTAACGACTGCCAGATGCTTTATCATTCCGTTTACCATTTACCTGGAGGTATTTCGCCCCATAGCGAAGATATAAAATAAAATGTATTGTAGGGATTTTTTTAATTTTCGAATGTATTTCGAATGTATTTTCGAATGTAGTTATTTTTAATTTTGAAACCCTTTCCTTAAATTTTTTTTCCACCTACAACTTCTTACCAGAATGAGTTTTCGGTATCGCGTTTTATGTCAATGAAGTAGAGGCAGTATTTAATGTAAAGTTCTGTCACTTGCGTAGAACAGCTCAGAAGTTTTCAGTAGAGCGTGTTTTACCTTCGTGTCACATCGTCACTTTTAAGCCTATCTTACTACGTCTTACGTTCGTGTTAGTATTCACCGGTTAGATTTAATTATGGGCCAACTCAGTTAGTTACTTTTGTACAGCTTTGGCTAAAATTTAGTTAGTTAGAATTAGTTTAGTTCCTTATTTTCTATCTTAAGTTAAAGCCCAAGTGGAGGCTTTCCTGTAAGCCCGAGAGGGGCCGACTGTTATCATTTCTTCGAAGAAAAGTATATTTTGAACCCTTCTTTGGACTTTATTTTTATAGTTGTATGAAGACCAGCGAATAATCGCTAGACTCTTCACTAAAGTTCTAATAGCCAGGGGCACGTAAATTAACTAAAGTTTTATAGCATTATTCACCTCAATCAGACTTTTACACAGACTTAAGTATAACAGAAACAAATTCTGCTTTTGTGGAGAATTCAGAACATGCGTTCAAATTCCATTTGAATCCGAAATACAAATCCGTTACGTCCTAATAAAAATGGTTCGAACTTAAATGATTACAATTAAAAGCGTCCTGCCAAAGCCGATAAATTTACTTAGCCAGGTCCTAATACCATCATAATTAATTCTACAAAAAGACTTTAACGATTATTACACACGCTAATGTGACAATCAAAATCGTAAAAACTTACGCTAAATACAAGGTTGTTTTTACGATTTTGATTACTTAGAAGCAGTTTTTGACAAGCGTTGTCTTTGAGCGAAACAGAAAATTTTTAATTTCTTTTTCACACGCCTCCTGTCGTCAGGTAGTTTTTCGCTGTTTACCGCATTCTTTCACATTGTAATTGTAGTAAAACCGGTTTGCAGCGCAATGTTTAGCGTTCGAATCCCGACGAAAATATTGTTAATTTCCTCACATTTCTTATTCAAAATCATGGTGTCTCTGCAGTGCGCAAAAACTAAAATGTGGTGGACAATGATTTGTCACCATGGAACTCGGCGATTCTGCCCCCGCCTTCTCACTCGCCTTTTAAGTGTGAAAGGTAGGGTATTGTTATTATATCCTTTCCCTCTATCGCATGGAAGGTCCGAAGTGACAACATCGTTGGTTTTTCCCGTTTCCTGCTTAGAAGTAAAGCTATGGCATCTGCATTACAAACGATAATTAGAGCAGTCTCTTCACCATTCATCTTTTTAATTTAATCTGTCTAATACTAATTAACAAATTGATTGATTTAAACAAACACGCGTTTACAGAAATAGAAGTCCTTATCTTACGTTTCTGTATAATATTTTTTCAAATTCTTAATGACAAACTCATTTCTGAGATGACTACATTGAAACTACAATCTACATTAATCATAAAACATTACTTCTTTAAACAGAGCTTTTTTGACAGGCGCAATTCACAGGTAATAATAAAATATAGTAAAATAAAATAAATAAATAAATCTAACTTTAAACATACGCAAGAATTTTAATCAGGTAATAGTCTAATAATTATCATTAATTTTACTGAATGTTCAAGAAATAAGATAACAGGTGCGAATTTTACATTTAATTATTAAACTTTATTTCTTTAATAGTGGTTTTTCAAAAGAAAGTCACAATCAAAATAAATGAATAAAATAATTCTGAAATAAAGTAAATTAATAAACCAAACTAGAAAGCTTTTCGCTCTAATAAAAGTAATATTTAATGATATGTAATTACCATAATAATGGAATAAAAACCTTCACTCACTGGTATTAATTTTGATGCAGAAATGTACATTAAATTTACAGCTATTTGAAAGTTGTAGAGTACAGTAGATAATTTTCTATATGAAACTGGAGTAGTAGGAAACTACCCAAGAGAAGGGTTAAAATACCCTTTATTAAATCTTTGAAAATTTACAATGCATAAACACGAAGCTGAAGAACTTCGCCTCAGCTTGGGCGGTAACTGAAAATCAAATAACGAAACTAAAATTTGAGGATATTAACACAATGATAGCACTAAACTACAGGGCTCGGCGAGATCCCTTAACTTAACTAGTAGCAGCAAATAAATGCAACTAAGCCACTTGAAACAGCAATAAGCAAGCGTATCTGCGGCAGAAGTGGAGGCTAGAGCCTAACTCTCTCTCTCTCCTACCGAAACTCGGCTTGTAAATACTTCCTGCAAAGTAGAAATTTGTATTCCCTCACGCGCGCTACAAAATTTAAATATTCTGGCACTGCCAATTAATGGAATGAAGGCCTATAGGAAAGGGTTTAAAATAAACTTTAACTTCTTAGTTAAAATAAATATAAATCCCTAAAAAGTAACATTGATAAACCCGTGGGTCCATCACTCCAAGTGGTAGGTTTAGCAGAAAATGTTTCAAAGTCCGTCGTTCGGTAAGTATGAGACTAGGTGGCAGCTGACACGTGAAAACGGGTCCGGACACCAGGGCGGTTTGCGTAGCCTATTCGGGTATTGTCTGGAGCGCACAACTGTCTAGGACAAGCAGCTCCTGGTTTTCCAAGAGCACCGCACCGGAAGTTCATTTAGAGATGCTCAAAAGCACATAATGCCATAAAGGGATAGATGCTAAGAAATACAAAGGAATAGTATTTGCTGAATGTAGGCAGGCGGTACCTAAACATGGCACGTTTTAGACATGAATATTGCAGGATGAACATATAATACATATAATAATGTCACTAAGCATCAAATAAAGCAACTCTAGAGATAAATACTAAACACTAAAAGGCTAATAGATCAAATACTGGTAAGAGTGGTACAAGCACTAATTATACAAAAAATTATACGCATGTGGTATACTGTTGGTAATGTGTTGGGTACATAACAAATACTGAAGATACATGTTATACTAAAGATATAAATTTCGAGGGTAATAGTTATGATACAAAATACAGTTTATGCTCTGTACATGACATTGGGGCACCCTGTTAATCTAATACGTCAGTTTAAAGAATAATATTTCCAGATTGTAGACAGAAGAGCTGGGTGGCAGCAAGTGGGACGTGAAAACATGTCCAAAGTGTTTTACCTGGTTGCGCTTCCCGCCTAATAAGAAGGATATCAGAGGGATTTAGGTAGTATTGTCACTAAGAATGTTGGAACATGCTTACAAATTACAAATATAAATTTACAGGCTTTACTAAGTAGATTAGGAAGAATACTAAGCATAAATGCTAGTAACTGGTTATCTAACTGGCTGGTAATATATCTGGCTGGTATCTAAGCTGGTATCTAAACTTTCCACTAATTCAAAAAACTATAAAACACCGTAAAACGTTTTCTTAGAGTCTGTTTTATGGAGCTAGTTGCTTTTCAGTTAGTCTGAATCTTAGTAATAAATTTTTAAGACTCTAATTTAATAAACATAATCTTGTGAAGATACTAATTGAAAATGAACAACTTACAGGTTATTTTTCAAACTGCAAAGTAGTAGCGTATATAGCTATTATATATTATAAGTATTTATCATATCGATTGCTTGTCTAAATATTTCCATGTAATTATAAGAGTGAAGACCCGAATTCGTTCTGTAAATAAAACCTCATTATGTGATAAAAAAAAATTTCCTTTATTTTAGCTAAACCATGTTAGCCATGTTACTGGTATTTTCTGACTTGATATGAAGCATGTATTTTGCTCCAAGGTAGCTAACTGATATTCCTTCACATGACTTTAAAAAGTTTGCTGGAGAAAAAAATTCTATTAATTGTTTAAATAAAGTGAAATTAATGCATTTACCTATACAAGACCTGACTCCAGCGGAAAATGGAATGTAGGAAAATGTATCTCTCTTTGTATTATTTTCTGGAGAAAATCTTTCTGGATCAAATTTTTCTGGATTTGGAAACACAGCTGGATCTCTATGAAGCTTGTATATATTTAGATAAATATTTGTTCCGGCTGGAATTGTGTATGAACCTGAAAAAAAAATCCTTTATGAAAGTTCGTTCTTATTTCATCGGACATTACCCAAAAATAAATTATGTCATGTTATTTTAATGAAAATATCGCGCATGTTTGACATTTTGATAAAACTTTTCTTTATTAGAAAATATTAAGATTTTTTTTTTGACAGTAACACAGTTAAAAGTTAATATTCCATATATTACACATTAATGTATACATAGAGTTTCATAACAAGATCAAAAACCCCTCTAAATTCATAAGAAATCGGCTCATTGAGAATAATTTCTTAAACACATGCACTTCAAACGCAATCACTGTAATATACGAGGTCATCTTACATATTACATCATAGCCAAGATAAAAATAAACAATTCTAAATTTCAAAAAGGCATTTAATGCGACGCATGTGAAGGCCAACAAATAGCCCTTGAAGATCAGAAGCCTCACACAAGGCTGTAGTCATGTAATAAGGTCTTTTTCAGGTATTGAACTAGCGCAACTTAGATAATTAGCATTTAATAGCACATTTGTGATAGTTACAGTGCAGCGAACAAGTTCCTGGTTACTGGACATTCCGGAAACCATGTGGTTATGCATATTTATATTTTTTTGGAGGCGGAATATAACGCTATAAAGTATGCTTAAGAAAGAGTATCATCTTTTTTCTGCTTAACGCCCTTGATTTGGTAACTGCTGTTGTGAATTCCTTAAATTTATGCAAGCCAGTATCGCCTATAACAAGTTGTACACTGCGGAAAAAAAGTGACAGTTCTATATCTCCCGTTCTACTGGGCCGATTGACGAAATTCAACTTGCGCTTTTCCTGTCTCGAAATCGCGACTTTGTATATATATTAGATTTATATATAGCGGTTGTTTTAATATAGCTATTTCAACACAAAATCGGACTTTTTCTGAATTACATGCCAATTTTTTTCATATTTCCATTCTACCACTCAAATTATGTTAAATTTTGTAAAATTTCGTGCAGAATTTCTGGAGAAATTAAAATATTTATCTTGTCGCATTTTTTTTTCAGTTTGTGCCAAGAATAATTCACTTGGCGAACTTCTTAATTTAAAGCAACCTATTTTTCTTTCCTTTTTTTTCATTGTACACGAGGGAAAACGTCATCATTCATTATTTCAGATAATTTTAACAAAGTGCGTAAACCACATTTGGCGTTGTTGTTGTTATGGCTTATAACAAATATGCTAAATTTCAAAACGCGCCAATATGTAAACTCACTTATAACCTAGGAAATTTTGAATAAAAAACACTAAGAAACTTAGACTTAGAAATACATCTACTTTAAGATGTTGGTAAAACGTTTATAGGTTATAATTAAAACTTTTTTTTGAAAAATTTATAAAAATTATTTAAGAATACAAATTTTAAAAATAAATTATAAAAAAGGATGAGTTTTATTTGGAATGAACCTAAATTTCGAATTCTGGAAGAATGAATCAAGTAAGTTTAATAAATGAAGAGATATTAATAAATATATATCAAATTCAATTAACATTGATTATCTAAAATTTTGAGAGCTAATTTTTTAAAACCTACTCGTGGGATTTTTGAAAAACTCAGAGAATCTCAGAGAATTACAGTAAGAAATTTCCTCTTGAACAATCGAATGAATTTTAATAATAAGCGAGAAAATGGAAAGGAATTTGAGCTTGCGGAGAATCCAGGTAATTTCGTTCATTGATAGAAGCCGAAGCGGAATGACGAGAAGGTTTCCTGCGTAATTTATAACTTTGGAATGTCTTTTATGTTGTCAAGAGGAAAAAGATTTTAAAAGCTGTGTCATTGGTCTTAGCAGAAAATCCTCCCTAAATGCCAAATGATTTCGAACAAATGAGTTTCTTCGAGGAAGGCAAAGCTTTTCAAGTAGAAACTTTACAATGCTAGATTAAAACTAAATTAGACAGTTTACTTTTTTTTGTATTTTAGCACATTGACATGATTTGGTAGGGCTATGAAAATTTTTTACTGTAAACTGCAGTGCTGAAATCCGATTCATCCCAAATAATTAATTATATGACTTAGTTTGGAAAAAGTTTGAAAAAGGAAATGGATGACTAAATGAATCGAATCCTTAACAGATAAAATTGTTGTTAAATCTTTGTATCCATCAAAACACGTGAAAGAGTAGTTGGCAATGAGGTCTTTGAAAATTACTTGCTCCACCCATAGCTTTCAATATTAAACGTTTTGCTCTTCGCCTTTTACTCTCAACACTAAATAATTTTTAGCTTCTGAAGAAAAGCGTCTTTGTTTTAAGGTCTTTGAAACAGATAGAGTTTAATACTAAATTCATGTCAACCTAATATTGCCTAACTTTAGTTTTATACTGGCAAGTTTCTTTTAAAATTTAACTCATTGTCTGTTCATTTAAATACGATAAACTACATAAAATGTAAAATATTTCTTCTAAAGGTTAAGTAATCATTTTTTCCCGCTATTTTAAAAAAAAAGGGAAAAGCGGATTCAGAGAACCTAAGCTGAAACAAACTCACCAGTTTTAATGCTTTCTTTACATTTTCTTCCTATGAGGGGTCCAGGTGGATACAGTCGTAGAGTTTCCTGAAATTCGAAATAATACTGATATGCAAATATACCGGAATTAAAAACATAATTAAAAATATTATCGGGTTGGAGAGAAAGTTCTGTCGTATTTTAAATAGGCAGGTGATTTTTCTTGTAAATAAAAAAAAAACATCTGGCTAGTGAGTCAATCGGATTTTTGTTTTTGTTTTTGTTTTTTTAGCTGCTGTATAATAAAAAAAGGTGCCCTTTTTTACACTTTTACACAGAGACTTAAAACTTGAGACGATTCCAGATTACATCAGAATATCTAATGAAAAATTCTTCAACAAAGCTGTGCAATGTGACTTTGTTAATTACTCCCAAGTTTTTAATTATGAAATTCTCTTCGAAGATAGAAGCGTCAGACCACTTGCAGCTCACACCTTCATGGGAGGAGACGACAACTTTTTCACTTAGATCCTCAATTGTTAGCTATTTACACTTCCAATGCATCTGATTTTGATTGAAGTTCTTCTGTTGCTTCTTTGAAAATTGTATTTAAATGTGTTGTATAGTTGTTTTGTATTGTGTTGTATTTAGCACTACTGATTGATGTTTGTTTAATTGTATTTGAATTTGTCATTGGAACTATTGCTGTAGTGTATCTTCTCGTATTGTTGTCATTGATTTCCATTGTCTTGGGTCCTCCTTGAAGCTATGATCGCTCGTCACCTTTTTCGAACTTGTGCGATTGGATTGTCTTACTCCTTTGGTACTTCTCTTCTTCCCTTATCTCCGTTTTCTTCTGAGATTTTCTCCACGTCCGGATTTATTTATGTCAGTGCCCTGGGCTTTAATTTTGGAACCGGCAACATTGCTCTTCGCATAGCTCGGTCATTATAGAGTCTAAGTCGTTCATCATTTACTTGTAATATTTAAAGGGAAAAAACATGCGGTAGATAAAGTGCATTAGGACACTGCATTTATATGAATCCAAAAAGGAAGCACGCATCTGTTGCAGAAAAATTATGTGCGGTATTTGGAAAGATATTGTAAATGTTCGTACTTGTCAAAGATGGTTTAGCAAATTTCGTTCCGGGGACCTGAGCCTCAAAGAAAGTGTTCGATCTGGACGACCATCCAAGATCGATAATGATGTTTCGCGATCCATGTTGGAAAATAATCCACATTTAACAAGTCTAGAAATTGCAGAAGAGTTTGGCATTCATCATACAACTTTTGGAGATCACATTAAATCTCTTGGGTTTGTGTTAAAGCAAAGTGTTTGGGTTCCACATGAATTAACGGAAAAGAATTTGTCTGATCGTGTAAGAATATGTTCATCACATCTGATTAGACACAATGTGGAGCCGTTTATGGACAGGCTGGTTACTGGAGATGAAAAGTGGATTCTTTACGAGAATATTAAAAGAAAAAAATCTTTCTGCAAACCAGGAACATCATCAGCAACAGTTCCAAACCAAGTATCCATCAACGAAAAGTACTGCTTTGTTTGTGGTGGGACAGGAAAGGTCCAGTGTATTACGAGTTGCTGAAACAGGGAAAAAACATCAACGCGGATCTGTACTGCAATCAGCTGGATAAATTGAATGCAGCTATCAAAGAAAAAAGGCCAGCATTAGCGTCCAGAAAAGGATAGTGTTCCAGCACGATATGCTCGACCGCATACTGCAGTGGTTACACTACAAAAACTGAATGCGTTAGGATGGGAAATCCTTAGTCACCCCCGTATTCACCTGACATTGCACCCTCTGATTATTACCTGTTCAGATCTCTGCAAAATTATCTAACGGGAAAAAAATTCAAGTCTTTTGAAAGTGTTTCTAAGGCAGTTGCTGACTATTTTAACTCCATGGATGAGAACTTCTACAAAACAGGAATTTACAGGTTACCTGGAAGATGGCAACAGGTTGTAACAAATAACGGAGCATATATAATTGATTAATATTAAACACATAGTTTTATAAATGAATTCAAATATTTTCTTTAAAATACGACAGAACTTTCCCTCCAACCCAATATAATATAAGTTTATAAACATGTTTTGCTATTAGTCTCATTTATCTGACAATGGTCAGCAAGGAGTTGAATGAGCTTTTCGTTGGCAAGAGCATTGGGCACCATATATTCGCCGTATATTTAGAGTGCCCCATACCGCACAGGCAGTATACATTTACAAGCCTCCATGCCTTCTCCGGGATTCAAGCTCCGGCCCTTCGGTACGGCAGTCAGATTTACTGACCACTAACTGATTGGCCGGCCTGAACATTTCGAAGAGCTATGGAATCGAATTATGAACTTCATATTTAGCTCAGATGATGCTCTGGCTAAAATTAGTAGAAACAGTAAACAATCTTTTGCCCAAAATTAATAGAAATGTGTGTGAAGCAAAGTAAATGAACGTATTTATTGTTTTGTTTGATTCCAATACAGGAGCATCTGAAAGTCGGAAATCTTGAATTAAAATCTTTTTCAGCATCTTTTCTAAAGCAAAGTAAGTAAGAGTTTTTAAACTTATGAAAGCATGAACTGCTCATTTTAGTGTAAAGTTGCAATATGCTTTTATTCGCGTAAGTAAAAAACTCATACTGTATGCTAGTATACCAAATTATTTGTAATTTAAAATTATTACTAAACAAACATCATGTTTGACAAAAGTCATGTTAACGATGAAAGAATACGACTAACCAGCACTCTGTGATGAAACTCTCGTCGTTAAAATTCATTATAGACATCACGTGATTTGTGCATGCGCGCAGCAAAAACTAAAACAGAACTATACTGAACTATAGAACTCATAATGGACGTTTAAGATGTAATTAGTAACTTCTGTCTGTGTTATGTACTATATAATTAGTTAGTAATGTGATTTGTAAATTAAACATCTTATTACCTTAGAAGCCTTTCTTTTTTGCGGTGAGAAGTGCTTTTTATGTGGGTAATTAATAAAAATATTTCTGAGTATATTTTTTTGGACAACAGCGAGAAAGAAGATCGACTGAAAAGGCTCACCTTTCACCTTTATTCTAAGGTAAAAAGCTCACCTTAATCAACATGTTTCTTCTATCTGATTTTTTATCTTTATTTAACATGTTTCTTCTATCTTATTTTTTATCTTTATTTAACATGTTTCTTCTATCTTATTTTTATCTTTATTTAACATGTTTCTTCTATCTTATTTTTTCTTTATTAAAATTCTATGTTATTTTTTTATCTTATTTAAACATGTTCTTATACTTTTTTTTATCTTTATTTAACATGTTTCTTCTATGTTATTTTTTTATCTTCCATTTTATTCTACAGCATTCAGCCCGATGCAAATTAGATTTAGCGGTAACAGGGAGTGAATCTGTTGTTGAGAAAGTGACAGCCTGCCACTAAATTTGTATGCCTAATACGTCTATCTGCATCTGTCTTCTGATGATCGACTTTCTTATGTTATGCGTTAAATTTCATTTGCAAATGTCATTGCTTTTAACTAATGGTTTAGTTAAGTTTCATTTCTTGTTTTCATTTTTGCGCTTTAACTTTCTGTTATGTCTAAAGCCGAAAATAAGATTAAAAATAGATGTAGCTGACATATTTCATTAGATTCAGGTTCATGATTGAACAAGTTTTAATTATATTTCATTTATATCGTTTTGTATTAACTTTAGTATGAGCAGGAAAAAAACAAGTTTTATAATGATTGTTTTAGACATTCAATTTTTTTTTTACCTTTATAACGTTTTCTAAGTATACCATATTCTTCAGATCTTCGTTAGTAACATCTGCTGTCTTGTTATTTCCAAATATAGAACATTGCTCTTGGTAAACTTTATCCTGGATATCAGGGTAAAGACCAAGAAGATAAAGAACCCAGTTTACAAGGATAGTTGATGTATCATGTCCCTAATGGAAAAGAAAAATGTTTATATTATAAAGAATCAAAAGAAACTATAGCTGTTTTTTTTACTTGCTACTATTCTAATTGAAAACACCAAACACGTGGACCTGTTTGCAAGTGCACATTTATTAAACCCATGATAAAGTATCTACAGAACTAGAAAGAAAGAAGAAACCGAACTATGAAGCTATACGTTAATAAAATTCCTTAGACTTTTTTTTAAAAGCAACTCGCCATATTGTATCTGTCAACTTACTTTTAATTATTAAATTCTCGACTAGATAGGATAGTTTGCATTTAAACCTTACCCGAAGTGTAAACTGTAAAATATTATCACAGTTTGTTTAAATACATTTTTTAAAAAATTATGACAATCAAATTGTAGTCATTTTGAAAAGATAATAAAAAAATAATGCTTCAGTAGCTAATGGGCTTGTTTCATCTTAAGACCTTACACCGTATGGAAGGAATACTCTTTTCTGTAACTCGTATGATAATTTTCATTTCTTTTTTCCTGTTTCCTTTTCCCTTAGTTCTAAAGGTTAACTTAATAGTTAACTGACTAACTAATTTCCAAAGGTTAGTAGCTAACTGATTAACTTCAACTGTACTCCCATCGCACACGCAAAAGCAACGAGCATCGTGTTACTTCAGTTTTTCGACCTCGCAAGTAATTCCCGATAGGCTTGACAGGAGATAAACATTTTTTCGCTTCATTTTTTTATGTTTTTCTACTAATGGCCAAATATAAGAAATACCAAATAAATACGAAAGACGCAAGGCAAGTTTTTAAATAGTCAGGTAGAGGCTGAGTTACAGGCTGAGTGAATTTAGTCATAAAATTGCTCTCCAGTGATTTTTAAAGAGTGAATAGTTTATAAAGTTATAAACTTAACTGGCGCAATAATGTGAATAACAGAAAACTAAACACAGACTATTTTTAAACTAAATACAAACAGGTTACAAACAATAATAAGAGTAAGGGTTAATAATGAACTTGATTAACTATAATGTTCAAATAGAGAACCATAGCATAAATACTCTAAGCATATACCAATTATCAATATTCTAACATACGTTTTGAAAACAGAAACAAGAATCTCCTTAAAGCACTATTTTATCAATATCTTATCAATAAACGTAAAGTACAATAAAACAATATAAGTTGATTCGAAACGTGCACAGACAGTCACAGGAAATCTATTAAATACGTCACACGTTCAGCCAGGGTTGAGTGCGCCCGGGCACCCCCTTCCCAATCGTTGAATTATCTAAAAAATATACATTCGATTGATTAGCGAAGATTTGTCTTTGTCATCGTCTTTGTCCTTATCTATAAAATTTCAGATGAAAACTAAGAGTGAAAAAGGCATAAACTCTATACAGCCAAAAATTTGTTTGAAATAGCTTCTAATAATCGCGTCTTTCTGTTAGCATTTATTTCGCAAGCCCCCCCCCTTAAAAGATATTCTGGCTTAAAAGTTATATTCTATACAACTTTTAAAACTTCTCGTTAGCCGATATAATATTCATCGGTGGCATATCTGAGGCAGCTTATTTTTAGTGTATTTAATGTGTAATCTTAGACGTTTGAATTTAATTGTCTTTTATATTAATTTAAACATCCACAGTGGTAGATGCTTTATGTGTAGAACAAGTGGGCCTGCTCTATTACAATAAGGATAAAGTTATTATTTTAACCTGCTTCTGTATTTTGTAAATTGTTCAAGACGTAGCGATAACTCGCTATTAGTCTGGTAGGATCTGCAGGACTTATGCTTCCAATTACAAGAGTTATGTGCAAACCAAAGAATTATGCTTCTAGTTAATTACAGATATGCTTACCAATAGGGTTAGTTCAGAAACGCCTACTGTTAATTGAGTTATTCCGATACCTTAAAAGGTATTTCCCCCTCCCTTTCGCACGCACGTCTTCGTGGCGCATTTGGAAGCATACTCACTGCATATTCGACAGGACCACAGCTCGAGTCCCCGCGTGTACATTTTTCACATCTCCAGCATAAAACATATCCTAATAACTGTGCAGTCTATTAAGATGGAAACAGAATCTTTGGAATTGTTACTTATTAATAACGCTTCCTCCTTTGTACACTTTTGAGTCGTTATTCATGAGAATCTGGCACAGAAAATTATACATGAACTACTAAGTTCTAGTACTTTATGCGTAAACTTCCAATATCTTATACATGATTCAGGTTTAATGTTATAATTTAAAGTAATAAGATAATTATTTGACTTGCCTGTTCCACATGGCAGAAGCTGATATGTTTATTTCACATTATAATAGCCACTTTATTATAATAGTTCATTTTATTTTATTGGAGGAACTTGTTTTCTCTTGAAGCGAAAGAAAGAAAATTCTAAAAATGCTTACTCTTCGTCCGAGTTAGGCAATATTAAACTGAGAGGAATATTATAGCAATTTTTAAATAATAAATATGACGTTATTGATTAATGATAGTCATGGTAAAGCTCTACTAACTGGCGTAAATGATGTACAAGCCACTAGTACTTCTTTGCATGCAGTTTTTCTATTTGTAATAAATAATATTATTGCTTTATCGAATTACTGACGATTTTAATTCTTTAGATTATTATAGCTTCTAGCATAATATATTATAGCGTCTTTTCTACTAGTATATTTTTCGCAAGCGCTGCTTAAAAGTTAAATTATATGCAACTATTATGAACGTTGTATTCTCGCTAGTCGATACAATATGCATCTGTTCTGTCAGTGATGCAGAACAAATAGAATATGATACACATATTTATAAATATACAAATAGCTAATGATTTTAAGTCCAAAGGATGAAATAATATAAAAATAAAAAATAAATAAAATAAAATAAAATATAAAAAGTGAAATTTAAAAAGCTAACTAACCGCAAACATGAAAGTGTCTACTTCATCTTGAACGTCTTTCAACGTAAGATTTGGATCTTTAGCATGATGTTCCAGCAGTAGTTCTAAGAATGATTTGCTTCCTTTTTTAGAATACTGATCGAGTTCATTATTATCTTCATCTACTTTGAGAGTCGCTTTCTTTTCATGAATGACCTATAATACAAAACATCGTTTAAAATTTATTGTAAATTTTACGGTTAAAGACTTCCAAATGAAATAATAATCTTCCAAATGAAACAGCACTACCACCTATATTTTGCTTTCAAAAATCAAAATAGAAAATAGAAATAAAACCGGAACTACGAAATAAATGCGTAACTTTGTAAAAATCTGCATTTTTACTCATAACCAATCAAGGTATGCTTAAGATCTGCAGTACCTTCAAATATTACAATAAGCAAGATTAAGGTAAAAATCTTCATTGCTGCCTGATAAAAATTATTATTATTATTAATACTTTTTAAATGTCTTTGAATTCGTTAGGCTGCAGAATGTAATAAAGGATAGTGAGCATTGAAGCAGAAAGTGCAAGGCAGATAAAAATTATTGTTATAAGGCAGGAACCTCCACAATATTTTAGTCTGAATTTAATTAAGGATAAATGCTGACTTTCAGGGAGCAACAACGCGTTGGTCTAGTCGTCATTAATGCAATAGCTCTAAGACTTAAAAATCATTAATGCTTTTCCGATCTCTGGAGAAATGTTTAAGCCGTAATTGCAGCTGGCTTAGCATTTTATGCTTTAATTTTCGTGCTTGATTTTTGCAGGAGTACTACTGCATATGTAGTATTTTCTTGTTCCTCACGTAACCTCACAATGAGCATCATGATAATGATTATATGAACTGCAGCTCAGGCTGAGCGAACATCAGAACAAGAAAACATTGGAGAACATGATGTCCCCTTTTACCTAAGAAATTTGACATACGATGAATTAAACGAATACATTAAATATGATGCCAAAAAAAAGTTTAAATACTAAAACGTTCGAAGAAGAGATCGGTAGTACCATGAATTAGCGAAAGTTCAAATCATGTGAGATAATCAATCAGAAGTGAATCACAAGTTAGAAGCAAAGTGCAAAATAAATTTCTGAAGTAGTACATAAATATACGTTACTACAGACTTTTAAAAACATAAACACTGCATAAGGGATAATAAAGTAATACGAAAAATATGCTGCAGAGCAGAAAAATATATACAACTCCAGATCATTTTTGTCAGTATTACATCTGGGGGGATACAGGTTGCTGGTGACTTAGCCTTTACGAATAAATCTAGAGTAATGTATCTTGCACAAAACACACGTCGTAAAAGTATAACTGAAGAATAAATGCAACGTACATTCTCTGGGGTGCTGAAAGAAGTCTAATTTTAACAGAACGACTGAGAATAAAAAACTCACCTTTGAGAACCGAACCCACAATCTGGAGGCAAGCGCTCTAACCTTCGCGCCATCGGGACGTAGGAAAACGATCAGAGAAATCATTCATGATCTAATGCCTAGAAGTGCAGAAGGATGATGATCAATTATGCTAAAAACTTTTTCCGCATGACGTCTGAAGTAGTATTCCTTAAGGCTTTCGTAATTCCTTAAATTTTCCTTCTAATTTTATTGATGTGTATAGACCAGGTAAAGGTGCCCGATTGGGAGTGATTCCAAGGTATTTGGGGGAACTGACAGTATTAACCGAACAAATTTACTTTAGTAGTGGTGCGATCAATAAATTTAAAACGTCGTATCAGTAAAATCTGTGAGTTTTCAGGACTAAGTCGGCTTTCCAGACAGTGCACCAGTTTTCAGTACTAATTAAGTTGCTCTGCAATCTGTCCAAGACGTGATTAGGCTTCCTGGACCTTACACGAAGAGCAGTGTCATCTGTATGGCAGGCGAGTATAATATTGTGATCCTGATAAAAATTAGAATAAAGTCATAGATAAATATAATGTAGAGTTATATGATCTAAAATCAAACATTGAGCCACGCTACTTTGATTAGGATATGACGCAGTACATTAGTCCTCTTCCTTCACTGAGATTGTTCTACTTTGGAGAAAGACTTGAGGACTATGGTGATTTCCCTAAGAAGGTTGAGAAGGATGATAACATAAGATGAAGATACATAAGATCCTTATGCCAGATGCTTAGCCATACTTAGTTTATTAAAAGAAAAGAGTCGATGAATTTCGAGATCCTGAGGCGGCGTGCTTGCTCGCTTAAGAACTAAATCAAATGCCACCGACATAGAGCAGTAATCTACAGTATTGGTTACTTGGCATTAAATTTTGCTTTCATGCAAGGGGCAGATATATCTTTTGCGTTATTATTCTTTACCTCTTTTCCCAATTCTGATCAGTTTCAATCATATTTGACTTTTTTGCTTGCTGTCTTTGAGGAAATATCATGAGGATGAATGTTATCAAAATTTATTTTCTACCATTTGTCATTTATATATGTATTCAATATTATTACATAGCAGCAAGTTCAACTTTTATAACAGCATTTTATTATTTCGTAGTAATACTCGAATTCTTTAGTCATTTGATTACAGTATACAGTGAAATGTAGGAATAAATATTAACTGTAGGAATTCAGAAAGTGAATTTAAGAAATCTTTACCTGCCCAGTGAAATCATCTACGGATTTTCTAGCTTTTCGAAATCGCTGTCCTGCGGAGCTGGAGAAGAATACAAAATCAGAAGAGAACCACGGTCTTACGATACGATGCACGAATAGATCCATGATCCTAAAATGATAAATTCATTGTGTTGAAAAATATTTTTCATAATTTTGCATGGTAGAAAATATTTAACATGTATAAGTAGGAGAATGATTTTGAGAATCCTCAGTAGCAATTTTTATCATAAAAAATGTACTTAACAAGATATCATCAAAGCTTTTCTCTCGTAGAAGGTGAATAACATAAAGGTAAATTATGTTTTCAAAAATGATGATATGATAGGGCTGTCATTAAAGGTTTCGTTGATTTCAAAGCTGTGTTTGAAATATGCGGAATACCAAAAGGATAGAAACATTGTACCTGTTGCACGAAATTGGATCATGAAGTTAAAACCGGTATTGTAAAATATGGCTCAAAGCCTAGTGGCAATCACGATGCGTTGTAAGATGCAAGTATTGCCAATATTAATAGAATTTCACACTTTTAAGAGCCGCTTACTTACCACTGAATCTGAAATCACATATGTTTGACAGGTTTGAGAACGACCATTCATTATTAGTACGTCATCTGTTTAAAGGGTAAAGAATAATTACTTTTATGTCATTAAAAATGTCAAGTCTTGCGTCAAAAAACAGCATGCGTGGAAAGTATAATTTCATTACTTTATTGCAAAAGAAGTCTGTAGCATAAATGTACTATTTGCTATTGGACATTTGTGGTAATAATTCTCCATGGAATACAACTAGTAAAAAGTGTTTGTAACAGTTGAAAAATAAAGATTTCGATCGGCATGACTAATAGCACGGAAAACACCTTCTTGAGCTGAAATTGGAAGCATTATTGGATAAAAATTCTTCAAACGGAATTTTCTGCATTAAATGTTACTCAACCATGCAATTTTCAGCGTCTACAAGCAATGGGAGGTTGTTCAAAAGCAAGGATATTGGTTCCTATATGAACTGAAAGAAAGAAACATGAACACTAAAAATTCATATGTGAATTGTTATTTTAACTACAAAAAGGATAAAGATTTTTTTGGGAGATCCAGTATTTATCGGACATGAAATATTGACTCATTACGAAAATGTTAACAGCCAAATGTATGAATGGATCTAAGTGAAGCAGGCTTATCCAGTGGAACTAAGAAGGAATAGTCTATTTTTACATATTTTCAACCGAATCAGACAATGAATAAAAAATATTTAATCATTAGAATAATAGAATAGAATAGAATTAATCAATTAGCATCAATTAGAGCATAGAATTGAAGCAAGAATGCCCATGACAACGTTTGCCCACATGCTGCGAGACCGGTCTAAGAAATTCTAGACATACTTTGCTGGAATGTTTTACATCACCCACTGTATTCAACAGACGTTTTTCCTTTAGATTATCATCTGATTTAGTTCATACAGAGCGGAACTTCTAGAGAGAGTTTAAATATCTCTTGTCACTTCTAGAGAGAGTCAAATATCTTGGATTGCAAATATCTATTCTTTAACTTTCAACAGACTTTCTTTCAAAAATCACCACCTACGGTAGCTGTCGTAACATTAAAAAAGATTTAGGGTATGGCAAGGTATTCAGTCATTGAGATTATCAAACAATAAAAGATTTATTAGCAGAATATCCTTTCGGCAGCCTGTTTTATGGGATAATTAATGGAATACTAAAACATTTTAGAATTCAGTATCAAAACCTCTTGTGGAGAAAACTTGTTTGAATACAATCCCAAACAGCATACAGATATGGAAATTTAGATATCTAAATACTGTGGTGGACAAAAATTTCCGTGCATATGCTAATGGATGAAAATGCTCAAGTACTAGAAATGAAAATTCAATACTTACTCTTCCGCAGCTTCTGTGTATTCTACAGCTGCTTTATTTCCTTCCTGAGCATTGATCCGAATACCCATTACAGTTTCTGAAAATGGTGCCAAACATAAATTATAATGAAGTTTCCAACATTTTCCATCAGCATTTTTGTTAAATTTAATCTTTTCCAAAAACAAATATTAATTTTATATGAAATCACTGAAATTTAAGTAATTTTTAAATGTATACCTTAAACATTTCTCAGTATACATAAGAACAAAATAGAGTACCCTTATTGACGGAAATACAGTATAATTAACTTTGAATTAAATCTGGCGAAAGCATGTATCATGTTACATAAAGCATTTTTCAAAATTTATATGAAATGTCTATATTCATAAAACAAGTGAATATGGAACAACGATACATTATGAGAATAAAACTAAAATTGGAGAAAGACTACAGAATGTTCTGAAGTCACTCAATTTGGTAAAACAGGTTTTATAACCATGCTTGTTATTACAGTTTTTACCTATACTTTGGCTCAAAACAGCATGATGCATAAAGAAATAAAATCATAACTGCAATTTCTAAAGTTTATTTTAATTATCACTTTTTTTCATTGAACTGAATCTTTCCTGCATTTCTGTTATTTTATTTCCTCCGCCAGAATGTGTACACTAAGTATGTTTCAAATAAGGAAGAAGAGTCGATGTTTAGGAGAGAGAAGGTAACAGACTTAGCCTACCGCAGTGTAGTTGCTCTGCACTGCCTGTCTTTAATGATCTTTCTACTGGTTGGTCCTATGACCGAAATTAAGTTCGTAGTTTAAAATACCAAAGCTACGTTCGTAAGTCTTTAAAGACCTGTTCACTGAATTATAAGCTTAGCATGACACTCCTTTCATCATTTAGTCATTTGAGGGCATATCTCGTTACGTTTCAGTACAAATTCACATTTGTATCTGTACACTGAAACAATATTTTAAGTTTTGTTAACAAGTAAAGGAGTTAAGCTCTGTTTTTGCTTAATTATGATTCATGTGCATGTATTTAACTCAGACAATTATACAAATTTAAAGCAAGTGCAAAGAAGTTTAAATGCAAGTGAAAGTGTACTTCAGAGCCTGCCGCACTGTTTGGAAAGCTTCCTCGCTGTTGTTGATGTTATTGTGGATTCAGTTAAGTTCATTTGGAATGGAAGCAATAGCAAATAAAAGATCGTCTCGAGTCCACTGTGGTCCTAATGGTTAAATAAATTTAGATCCAAATAAGATTGTCTTCGGTGTTAGGCGCAGAGTTCTTTCTTCTGTCCGCCATATCAGCTTCTCTTGTTTCTTAAAGAAAAACGGAGTTATAAATTATATGATAATTTAGTGGCAACTTGGAGCCTGGGGTCCTAGGCCCAGGCAGTAGTCAGGTGTAGAAAGTCTATAAGTGATTCGAAAACATGAAAACCGGTATCTTGTTTAAAACGTATAACCTTTCCTTAACTATTTATCTGCGAAACAGCGTATAAGGTATTTTCTCCCTTCTTCTAGCATGCCTTCGTGGTGTAACGGTACACATTCGGCCCATATTCGAGAGGTCCAGGTTCATGTCCTGGCGAGGGAATTGCACATTTTTCACGTCTCCTGCTTAAAAAAAATTGATGACTCTACAAGTGCATTAACTGATTTGTTATCAATTAAAGCGAATAAGTAAATGATAAATTTAAAAAAAAAGCTGTATATTTTCTCTTTACATGTAACGCATTAGTTAAGGTGAAACAAAACTTTGCTGATTTTAATTTATGATTCTGTGTGAATTTTATTTAGTAAAACCGAAAACTCGCAGACGGTTATGAAGTAGTTCACAAGTCATTAATTTAACAGACCTTGAAGAAAGATTAAGTATAAAGTTAAATGCATTACATCCTAACTTTGGTTCGAAATTCCACTAAATTGGCCAGTCTTGTGATAGATTGTTTTTTCATAAATTCTTCCGAAAAATATCATAGACATTTAAATCGTGTCTTTGTGCTGGCCGAACTATTTGATTGCAATAAGTTTCTGGACAACAATGGGACTTTGCATAATAGCAGGCAAATAAACATAAAGGAAGTTGTAAAGCACCAGATATTTTGCCTTCAAAAATGTCTACACAATATGTAATGTCGTTCCATCTGTACCAAACAGTAACGTTTCAGTCACACAATTTTATTACATCAGCATAACAACTTCGCCAGAAAAATTATTCTTTAGAAACGGAAATGATAATAACAGCCAAATTCTTTTAAAGCTATAAACCATTAGGAGTGGTATAAGAGAAATGATGCTGATTTTATTAACAAACCCCTTTTCAGCAATTAACCACTTGCACTTCTTCACATAGACCCTGCTTCAACATGTAAATTCATCAATGTAGATTGGAGGAGCAAATTTGATTTTGAGGAGTTCTTTCCAACAATTTATTGAGATGTGAAACGAATATCAATTTCTACAACAAAATGGAATGACAAACACGTTTGGGAATTACCTTAAAAATATTCCTATAAACAATAAATAGCTTTCATTTTCATTTTCATTAAGCCACATTGCTCTTATGAAGCCAGAAATAACCGAAATTCATCTGACATGAATAAGTAACAAGAAAAGATATAGAACCTCCCACCAGAAATCGGCACGAAATATTTAGAGGTGACTATGCATATAAAGAAAACGGGAAATAGAGGTTCCTGGCTCTAAGAGAATGGCATGTACTAGAAGATATGGTAATTAATACTTAAGCAATGCCTGAAATGATTCGGATAGAAATCAGGAATTTTTCAGATTTTTTTAAATAAAAGAGAGAATGCAGCATATTAATGACATTGATTTTATTCAGTTGAGTACGGGACATGATCTTTATCCGTTTTATTTTCACAGATTCGGTATACAGGAAAATCAGGATTGTCTTTTTTGCAAAGCATTAGGAGATAATAAACATTTTTTTTGTGGGGATATGGTCTAACGTTTTCATTCCATCAAGATTTTAGGATCACTTCTACGAAAATTTATATGATAGAAAAAATTATAAGACTGCTCGAGAGATCATGAAAATTATTAATTCAAATAGAAAAAGAATTGGAATAGAGGCTTGACTTCAACTTTTGACTGTTTGCACAACTTTGAAAACTTGCTTGATATTAGGTTTTGTCTGATTTATATTGTTTTTACTTGATGTCGTACTAACCCCTTATTTATTTTGTTTTTACATGACGTCGTACTAACCCCTTATTTACTTGGTAGTTCTTTATTGTCTCGTAATGTGACATCTTATTGGTTTTATAGCTTTGTAACCTTGATTTACTTTAATATTTTATTTACTATTGTATTTAATTTTTACTATTGTATTTTTTGCTCATATGGTTTGTTTGTTTTTGTATGTGTGTAGTGTAATATGGGCTCAACTCCTTTGTGTCATAAGACGAGCTTCCCTCGTCAAGTGGGCCGGACTGCGTCCTAAATAACTAAATAAATATCAAGAAAACCATAACAAGGCACAAAATGGGATATTTCGCAATTATTCACACACCCATAACAGAGGAGATAAACTCGTGTACCCGTCAGCAATATGGTAGCATAAATTTCCAAGCATAGCATTTCTGTGGTGTTTAAGAAATCAACAGAAATCATAAACCTCACAAAACAGATGCACATACTATATACCTATGTCATTTTACTACGTCATAGTAAAGCGATAGGAGAAGGCAGGCTGCCAGCAAAGTTGATGCATACACTAAGAATATGAATGACGGCACTAGACCAATGGGCAAGAAGGTTAGATAAGTCGAATTCTATAAAGTTTACGACTAGAAGAGAAGAGGTTTTTTTGATTGTAAAGACAATATAGGGTTGGATTTGAAATTAGGAAAAGCTGCGTCTTTCTCACGTTTCTTTTAACGCAAGTAATCCATTCTACGCGCCCGCTGGATTTTAATGTTTACATGCTGGCAAATGCATCTCACCATCTATCTCAATAGTCGTGACAATTTGGCCACTTTGTTCTGTGCTATCTTGCATTTTCGGAGAATTGCTGCTAAAGACTAAGGTAGGGTGGACAAATTTCGTAGAAGCATTCGTCAGTGTATCAGGTTCGATGTTCCGCCTTACTTGCTTTGGGAACATTCAAAGACCTGACTCGGAACAGGGAGCTTACTAAAGCTATGTTCAATAAATGTGGGAAGTAGACAAGATACACAGGAAGGGTATACGAAACCCTTTATTTTTCTCTCTTTACAATGATTTCCGGACTTCGGAATACAGAGACCAACCACTTGTGGTCTGAACGTAAGAATATAAAAATATTAACTAAACTCTAACTTAACTTTGGAATAATAAACAAGGGCCTCCGAGAAGATTGGCCGTATATTAACAGGAAGCCGTATGTAGTACAGAGAACTGTTAACACTACAATACGTTTAAAATTATCAAGAGGATTAAACCTCTGGCCTGGAAGGCAACCAGCAACCGAGTAAAAACTGCTAAGGCAAGCGGCCTGCTTTTACAAACTCCTTCCTCTCTCTTGCTTGGCAAAAAGCCACAACTTAAGTACTTGGCGTTCGCCAACAAATTTGCATAAATAAGTTAAAGCTTTTAATTCTGGCCGGAAGTAGAAAATAAGAAGTGATAGTAAAGATTTAAAATAAAATAAACGTTAGTAAAACTTAAGATCCTTACAAGTGTAAGGTTGAAACATTGTCATTATTCGTATTCTGTTGAATGCTTCTTCGTTACTTCTGTCACTAATATTTTTACAACACCTTACGGATTACAATCCATATGACCAACCATATAATATATTGTTACTTCACAATATTGTTGTGCAATATATCTGTAATGTGTACCCTTATACTCTAACAATAATCACTTACGACACGCATGCCACTTGCGATCACGAATGCTCTTTATCGCAGAATGACCTTGTAGCTAAGAGATACAAAATTTTGTTAGTATGCTTCTGCAAATATTAAAGGTTCGCCTTCCAAGTGTTAGCTTTTTTCTTGGGATTTCAAGAGATTACGAAATACCGCAGTTTTCCCCTGTTATTCAAGTGACTGATCATCTCTGAAAATTACTTCACAATTGTC